CCCTCCCTCGCATTGATCCGGAATCGCAGGGCTGTGAGATTGTATTACAGGGTATTCCTCAGTCGCTCCGTGTGCCTGTTTGCGCCCCTCCCTCTCCTCCCCCCGGGCTCGTCTCCCGCTCCCTCTTTCCTCCCCACTCCCTTCCTCTTCTCTCTCTCTCTCTCGCCGTGCTCAGATCTCTCTATCAATTCCATTCAGCTCAAGGTGCTTCAGTAGCGGGGCCGATGGGTACAATCAGCGCTGCCGAAGCAAATGAAAATGAAGTTAACAGGAAACCCAACAAAAAATAGAAATAAAATACATTCGACAGACATTTACAACAAAGACATATCATAAAATATTTACATATTGAGCATTACTGTGAGACAAGTTCACTGTTCCTCAGGCTGGGACGGGAGATCACGTACTCTCTCTCTCTGTTCTCCGTGATCAATCTCTCTGTGTCTGTCAGCCTGTCTCCCTGTCTCCCTGTCTCCCTGTCAGTCTGTGTGTCTGTGTGTCTGCCTGACTGCCTGACTGCCTGTCTGCCTGCCTGCCTGACTGCCTGTCTGCCTGCCTGTCAGCCTGTATGTCTGCCTGTCAGCCTGTCTGTCAGCCTGTATGTCTGCCTGTCTGCCTGTCAGCCTGTCTGCCTGCCTGTCAGCCTGTCTGCCTGCCTGTCAGCCTGTCTGTCAGCCTGTATGTCTGCCTGTCTGCCTGTCAGCCTGTCTGCCTGCCTGTCAGCCTGTCTGTCAGCCTGTCAGCCTGTCTGTCAGCCTGTCAGCCTGTCTGTCAGCCTGTATGTCTGCCTGTCAGCCTGTCAGCCTGCCTGCCTGTCTGCCTGCCTGCGTGTCGGCGTGTCTGTCTATCGGAGCTGCAGAGGAGGGAGAGGGGGAATGGAAGAGGACACAGTCAGCTCTGAGATGCGAGGGCAGATGACACTCACACATGCACACATGAATCACCTCAGACACACACACACAGACTGTGGGTGTCAGGGACGTATTATGCATTCACACTAGGAGAGGCAGGGAGGGGAGGGACGCTCAGAGACATACTAAACAGATAAGATGCTGTGATGCACAGATTAGCATTCTGCTGAGGAGAGGCGAGGAGAGGGGGAGGGGGAGTGCGGGAGGAGAGGTGTTCTGAATTAGAGAAGGGCACTGAACCCAGTACTGCTCATAAGCCTCCCTCTCTCTGCCCCTTCCAATTGCCAGAGCTGCTCTGGCATGACCGACGAATTACTGCCCTGCCAGCTCAAGGACTCCGCGGGAACATGCTTGCAGACATTTCGTTAAATAACACAATATTGTGATCTGAGAGGCTCCCGCTCTGTGGCTCAGGCTGGGACAGGAGATCACACACTGGGCTGCAGCTCTGTCCAGTTTCCTCTCCCAGTAGGACTGATCCTGGCAGGTGTGGGAACGCTGAGATTTGGTTTGTTATTTGTTCAGAAGAAGGTTTCTCTAATCCCTGTGTGTTTCTCCCAGCACAGCAGGAAGTGCATCTCTGTCTCTGCTTCTCCCTGCCGGCAGGGAGAGCACAGTCTGTCCTCTCTGGACAGCCAGGTCTGCCGGTGTCCAGTTTCTCTGTCCAGACTGTGGTCACTGAGCCTGTCCTCTCTGGACAGCCAGGTCTGCCGGTGTCCAGTTTTCTGTGGTCACGGAGCCTGTCCTCACTGGTCAGTGAGTGTTTTAGGTGATTAAACTGCTGTAGCCGTGATATTGTGGTCTAAGTATTCGAGTGCATCAAAATGTTGTTACCGTCTAACTGGTATTGACTGGTAACAGTGTCCACAAACCACACATAAGTGTTTTTTCAGTGTCTGACACTGATAGACATAAAAAATGGCTTGAGAGTGGCGTGGGTGGACCAGTAGGTGGCGCTTTATCCTCTGGGACACAGTTGCCAGTCCAGCGCCCCAGTATGGCGATCAGGCAAGATGTTAAGCCGCAGGTCTGGACTACTTGTTCATTAGAGATCCCGTTGGCTCTTTGTTGTAAAGTTCCCCCTGAATTCAACTGGAGTATTAAATTCTCTCCTCGGCCCCTGACCTGCTACACAGTGGGGCTGCTGGGTTACCTCTCAGCGGCCATTGCATTAAATATAAAGGCCTTTTAATAGACGTGGTGGCAGCAGGCAGTATGGCCACAATAAGAGATCACCGAGTATTTCTCCTCCTCCTTGTGCGCCTCCTGTCGCACCTGTGCGCCTCCTGTCGCACCTGTGCGTGTTTTCAGAAGATCGATGGCGCCGGTGCGGAGGCGGCGCTGCCGCAGACCGCGGGGGTTGGGCGGAAATGTGTCGCAATGCTGCGCTCTTGTGGACGCGGCCGGTATTGCGCCGCGGCGGACGCTCCGGAGTCGAGCCGTCCTCGGAAGCCTCCGCCGCTGGGCTTGAACGTGCGGCTGGCAGGGCAGATGCTTCTCTCCCGGGGCGACCTCCAGTTCCGCATTACGGGGCCAGGACCGCGAGCCGCCGAGGGAAAGAGTACGACTTCTGAGCGATTGCGATGAGAAAAAGCAGCTTAACAATCACCCAGGCCGGAGGAGTACGAGTACTTGCAATTCCATGAAAGAGAAAACATGAGATACTAAAGAGGATGATAAGAAAGAGGAAGACACAACAACAAAACCATGTATTCACAACACATTCATGGGATCCTGATCCAAGTTCCCAGCTGAAGATGCCAGAATAAAACTATAGAAACGATGGATCCGGATTCCTGGAAAGGGACAAGGGAGTGATGAGCAGAGTCCATGGCAGACCGGCGCCTGCAGGGGGCGCTAGAGAGACAGGCAGAGAAGAGCAGCAGAGGGGTGGCTGGAGACAGGAATGAGACACGTATGCTGAAGAAACAGGGCGTGAGTGGGGTCTGCTGAGGATATCCGAGGATTCAAGTGGAATCTGCAGGAAACTGTTTTTTTTTTTTAAAGGAGAATGAGTTAGGGGGGGAGGGAGGGCCACTTCTTTACACAAAGGGTGGTGGGAGGGTGGAACAAGCCGACACCCTGGCTTCTCTCAAGACACGGCTGGAGGAGATCCTCCAATCAGGACAGCACGTACTTCTTTACCCAAAGAGTGGTGGGAGGGTGGAACGTCTTAGCACTTCTTTGCACAAAGGAACAAGCTACCTGGCCAAGTTGTTCAAGCCGTGAGCCTGGCTTGTCTCAAGACCCAGCTGGATGGGACCCTCCAGTCGGGACAGGAGGCTCTTCTTTACACAGAGGGTGGTGGGGGTGTGGAACAAGCTGCGACCCTGACTCCTCCCCAGACTCAGCTGGATGCGAAGCTCGGAAAAACAAACGACTAACTACCAAACGGGTCAGGTGGGCCCCTCTCGTTTGTAACCGGTCTCCAGTTCTTCTGAACCTCCCCCCAAAAAAAACAGAGAAGCAGCTGGGCCGTCTCCCTCGTCTTTCTCGGACAGCGGATGTTCGGCGGGCTGTGGGGGGGGG